CTTAATAATTTCAAAAAATGAAAGCTATTATATTTGTTAATTTTAAAGTTAACTAAACAGTTAATGACTTTTGTGTATGCTTTTTGTTGGAAAGTATTTGAATATTTGGTTGCAGCATGGAGGTCCACAATTTCAGTTGATCCTCTAGATGGGTATCAGTCATTTGTGACCTTAAGGGTATCTTGATTTGGATTAGGTAGGACAATGTAGATTCACAACAATAGGTGGCTGAAAAGCAAGAAAGCATTTTTCGCATATGTTGCTGAGGGCGTGTGTATTCTATTGTATTTTTCCATATTTCAATTGGATCTTCCTTAGCAACAAACAATGACTTTATAATGTCATCTACTGAGAGCTCAATCAATTCCATCTGTAGTTCTTTAGGTGTCTTGATGATATCAACTAGGTGAGGCTGAAATGCTAATTTGAGGGTGATGTCATGATCCTTAAAGTGAGTGAATCTTTCATTGTATTCTCCAATTAATAGCTCTATAACAGGTGCATATTCTTCAAATGATTCTCATCTATCATCGTGCTCATCAATGACCTTTGCTAACTGGGGAAAATGTTCATCCGAAATTTCCTTTTGAAGAAGGAATGTTTTGAAAAGAGATTGATACGAGGTGACAAAAATGGTGCTTTACCCCATGGTCTTGCTCCCAAAACTCCAAGCCCCAGTTTAATTAAGAAAAAAACATCAGACAAATTCTAACAGAGGGACATCCTGCAATATCCCTGAAAAATATTCCTAAAAACTTTCAAGGTCATCGAAAACAAGGACAGTCTGAGAAACTTTCAGAGCCAAAGGGAGCCTAAGGAGACATGACAACTAAATGTAATTTGTTATGCTTGATGACATCTTAAAACAGAAAAAGCATGTTTGATGAAAACTAAAGAAATCTAAGTAGACCATGGACTTTAGTTAATAATAAAGTATTAATATTGGTCCATTAATTGTAACAAATATGCCATACCAATATAAGATGCTAATAAGAGAGGACACTGTATATGGGGAAAGGGCATACATGAGAACTCTCTACTATCTTTTTAATTTTTATGTAAATCTAAAACTTAAAAAAATAGTCTACTAATTAAAAAGAAGTAATGTGTGAATTATAATAGTAAACCAGGGCCATACTTTTGAATATCTAGCAGCCATTGTTTTCAAAGTACATTTAGTGACAGGAGACACACTCATACTATAATATAAGTGAAGAGAGGGGGATGCAAAATAATTTTAAAAGTACAGATGCTCCTCTACTTACAATGGGGACACATCCTGACAGACCCCTTGCAAACTGAAAATATCACAAGTCGAAAATGAATTTTAATATAAATAACCTATCAAACATCATAGCTTAGCTTAGCCTACCTTAAATGTGCTCAGAACACTTACATTAGCTTATAGTTAGACAAAATCACCTGGCCACACAGTGCCCTATAGAGTATCAGTTGTTTACGCTGACTGGGAGCTCTGGTTCACTGCTCTGCCCAGCATCAGTAGAGAGTATCCTATTGCATATTGCTGGCCCAGGAAATGATCAAAATTCAAAATTTAAAGTACAGTTCATACTGAATGCATATTTCTTTCACACCATCATAAAATTGAAAAATCATAAGTGGAACCATTGACAAAGCTCATCATGGAAAACGTAATTTGTAAAAATAATGATAAAGAAGAAATATATCATAAGGTTAAGAGTCATATCAAAAGGCTATAATTCCAGGTGATTTTTATTTTCTTTCTTACAATTTATGTTTTTAAAACAATTTTTATTATTAGACTGTGTTATTTTAATATCAGGAAAAACACCACAATATTAAAAAAATAAAATTGGGTCCTCCTCAAATCTCCATTTTTATCTCCATGAGAATGAGAGGGGATATAAGATAACAAAATATCAAAAGTCTTTGGCTGACAAGATTATCTCTAAAATAACTTTCAATTTAAGATCAGGAGAATTGCATAAATTTTAACCAAAATCAAGATCTTTGCTATACCTCTAATAGGGATGCAAAAATATTTAATCACCACATGACTCCCAAATACACTGGTTAACATACGTTTTATGTCAGATATACTCATAATTTACCAGTGTCTTAACAGACCAGATATAAGCCAAACTCAGTGTTACATGAAATATATGCAGTATATTTTTGGTGTAAAGTATGTCTTTGCATGTCATTGTGTTTGTTTTGTTTGTTAGCTTTAAATTTCCATCTGATTGAAATAGGAGGCATGTTCTTGTGTGCAAGATGGCATTCATGCTTAGGATGGACATAGGCTGAAATAGGAGTTAGTCATCATTTGTAGCATAAAGGATGATTGTCAATCATATGTAAGTTTGTACAATTTGTATCAGCTGTTTCAGTGGTTTGTTTGCTTTAATTTTAAAATTAGTTCATGTGCTTATCAACTGCAGGCTACTATCATAACTATTAAAGAGATTTGGAAGATGAAATCTTAAAAGAAAGACTTCCAGAAATTTGAACAAATGGGAACTTAAGCATATCTAACAGTTAAAGAATCACTACTAGTTTTTAAATGTACAATAGGCCAAATCATACTAATTTTGGACTATACAAGAAATAGACCTAACTATCAAGGTAGCATCAAATGCATTAATGTATAAAGGTTTCAAAATGCAACGAAATTCTACAATGATCCTTGAGGAGAAAAATAACGCAGATTAACAGACTAGACTGCAGATATCTGGCAAGTAGGTGACTATTCTGGGCTCTCCTGCCACCTTCTCTTCTTCAATCTTTAAGCTTCACTTAACCACAACTTACTCATGTGTGAAAGTAACATCACAACATAAATTAATGATTTAAAAAATTGAGATAGATGTGCTTAAGTGTTTCTGAAAAAAAACATTCACCTTCATAGCTCTGGGTTTCTATTTTGTCTAATTTAAGAGTATAAAGCAAGAAACAGAACTAGAAGTTAAATTCAAAATATTACAATTAGGAAACAGCAACAGTTTTGTTTTCTTTTCTAGCCTTTACCTTCTGGCTCATTTTTGATGAGCTCTTCCATTTTCCTCTGCTTCAAGGTGTCAACAACATCAGCTAAGCTGCCTTTGCGCCGCTCAGGAGTTCCCAGGGCTGTACTAGACAAGGACTCGCCACTCTGTCGCCCACCTTCTTCTGCCTTCTGAGGTGAGGTAGATGAGTTGTGTGGGGCAAATGAAGACATAATTTTATTGCCATCAACTTCCTGAAAGAGAAAGCAAAGTTAAAAGAAATATTTTTGTTTAAAATTCAGTAACTTTTAAAAAAAGATTGGTTATGTTGCTTATTCAGCTGAAACATGTAAGAAAAATGTGAAATGTCACTCTGCAAGAGCAAAAGGAACAAAGAAATTTCAAGAAAGAATAACAACCTTCCTGGCTAACACCAGAGAAGTCAACGATCATAGGAGAAACCAAAATATGGAGATTCTCTCCCTTGAACTGAGTGCAAATGGCAATATAATCTTATACAAAGTCTATATTGATTAGATTTGTCTATTTTTCTGCTTTTGCTTTAACTTTATGTCAGATATCCTGAGATAGATTTTTCTGAACATTAAATGTAGTGGTCACCTGTGTTAAACTTCCTCATGACTTTGTAATATTTAAAAAAATAACATTATATTACTTCATTTTCATTTTCAGTAGCTGCTTCTTGATAGTACTTCTAATTAAAGTTTTAGTTCTCCACCCACCTCTCATGCTTTTAAGCATCAACCACACAGTTTATTTTGACATCAGACAAGAATACTGCAAGTTCATTTTTGCTTATGCTGAAGACACTTCCAATCTCATTTGTCCTTAGTACTGTTTCTATCAATACTCTTTCCTACTTTGCACTTCAAGCCTCATTTGGCCTATAAAACAAAGTTTCTGGTAGTTTTTGTTTCTTCAAAATCATGTGTGTATATGAATGAAAAAAATTATTTTATAATTCTAAAATGTAAATCTTTTGTATTCTATTGTCATCATTTTCCCCACAATTTATAGCACAGCTTTAGCAATCTGTAAAATATTTGGGGTATATTTTTTCTAAAAGACACTAAATTTATTTTTCAGATTTTTTCAGGAGGAGTGACACTGAAATTAATTTTCCTACTTAAAGGTTTTCCTTGTATAGTCTCTTACTTCCACAATCCTTTACTTCCTACAAAACAGAGGTTTTCTTAAAAATAAAGCTATATCCTAAGATCTTTGTGTCTCACCCTAAATATATTATTTAATTCTACAGCATTAAAAGTTTCCATTAAATATATTTGAGTGTGTGTCTCGTTAATATTCAGGATAATAGATTATAAATGTTTACACACTTCCTTTCTACTTATTTAAGATATGTTCTCTACCTATTTAAGATAATACGATCTGTTGACTACAGAAAAGTGACAAGTCACACGGGTTGATTGCCAATGTTTTTAAGCTAATGTTTAAGCTAATGTTTTAAACTAATGTTTGGGTGGATATTTTTGACTAGCTTAAAAATATACTAAAACACATGATTTAAAAACTGACATTCTAATTTTTAAAAATAGATTAACACAGAGATGTCAAAACAAACAAAATTTATTAATATGATCTTTTGTTAACAATATTAGTGAGTACAGGGACAATAGCTATGTTACAAACATCAGTTTGTTGGAAGGGTCTGAGGCATTTGGGGAAAGCAAAAATAAAAAATGTGCACTAACAGAATCTTACAAATTACAGTTCTAAATCTCAAATGTTTTTGACTTCTTACAGACATTACAGAATATCCCTCTGACTAGCATTATGCCTTGACTGAATATTCTATAGACAATTAACTTATAACATGGATTTAGAAATCGATAAGCATAATGCAATAATTACAAGCCCCTGCAAGTGAAGTTAAGATACACGTCTGGAATTATTTATTTAAAGCCCACACATAAAAACAAGCAAACATGCAAACACACATACACACACACCCCCTAAAGAGAACAATCACAAATTCATTCAGTAAATTAATAGGAATATTTTTATGAATGGCCCACAATACATATTAGCTTAGTTTCATGTGCAAACCAGAATATAGCAAAACCTTTATGTTCATTTTCCAAAGAAGATCTTTCTGTTACATCTTTTCAGGGCCACAAGCAGAAACATATCAATGTTAGCTTCACTTTGAACATTTCTATTTGTACTGTGTTTTCACATTATGTGACGACAAACTTTTGAAACAAGAATTTGGCAGCTAACCTCTATTTACCATGATTAAAAATTACATACATCTTTCTACAGCATATCATCACTGGAGGTTATCACACCCAAATTTGTATGCAATCAAGTCTATTAAAATATCAAAAAATATTTACAAATAAAGTATCCCACTTTGCACGTCTCTCACTTTTTACACTTTCAAATAGGAAGGGAATATTTTGAAAAGTTTAAGATATTTCACAAGTATTCTAAACTCAGTTGCTGAAGCAGTATAAAATAAATTAATTAATTAAGCATTATTGCTATTTCATGCACGAATATTTATCGTACCACTATTTCACCTGCCTGATTACATTTCAGCCTCTGGCACTGTTAATCCCTTTAACAGATTTATATAGTTAACAGCTGTTTCAGTGTGGACTCCACTGTTCATTTGCATGGTGAATAGCTTGTTAGAGAGTGCCGGCACAGTCGTCAGTCAAGGAAGTCCTGTCTTTTTCAGTTTCTTCCATGGGACTGCATTTGCCATACATGAAGTAATGACTGCATGTTTCTCTTCACTTTGGTGGCAGGTAAAATCCAGATGGTCAACTACCTAAGGCCTAAATGGTCCAGACCAGCAATATATATTTAATCAAGTGTTTGAACTCTAAAGACAAGCTTCAAGTATTTTGCAAACAAGCTCCAAGAACTGGGATGTATGACTTCTAAAGTCTATTGATAAAAGAGGATTCTAAACTTTCAGAATGAAGTTGATAATTTTCCTTTGTTATTCTTGAACAAGCTTTACTTAATCTTACTCCCTTTGTCACCTTTGCACCAGAAAAAAGAGAATCTGCCTAATGTATCTATCCTCAGAAATATCCTTTTTAAAATGCCTTCTTGTTAATTCATTCTAAAGATAGCATTTTGCCATGTACATTTTAAGAGAAATATTAATATTATTTCAACCTTAATATTTAAATTTTAATTAATGTGGTAATTAGGAATTCTTTTTTTTTTTTTTAAGAGACAGGATCTTACTTTGTTGAGTGCAGTGGCAGAACCATAGCTCACTGCAGCCTCAAACTCCTGGGCTCAAATAATGATCATGCCTCAGCCTCCCGAGTAGCTCGGACTACAGGTGTGCACCAACATACCCAGGGAATTTTTTAATTTTTCTGTAGAGATAGGTTCTTGCTACATTGCTTATGCTGGTCTCAAATTCCTAGCTTCAAGCGATCCTCCTGCCTCGGCCTGGCCTCCCAAAGTGCTAGGATTACAGGTGTGAGCCACCATACTCAACCAAAGAAGAATTAATTTATTTGAAAAAGAAGAGATCACATGGAATGACCAGATACACATGTTTCTTTTATTATTCAAATGACATTTCATCCTTTACTTCGGCTTTCAAGAAACATACTACGATACTCTAAGTTCTCCAAACTGAATTAAATTACTACAGGGTAGTAAAAATATTGCATTTAATACTCAATCTATCAGAATATAATTCATAAGAATAACAGCTTTCATTCAATACTTTGTGTCAGGCATTGTTTAAAGTGACTTACATGCATTAACTCAATTAATCCTCATGGCAAGTTGATTTCCATTTTATAGTGGAAGAAACTGAGGCAAATAGACTGAAGTAACGCCTGGGGTCACAAGACTAATAAAACATCGAATAGAAAATCAGCCTCAACTTGCTGGGCTCCAGAGGCCTCATTCTTAACCACAGTGCTGTTATGCTTCTGCCTTTAAAAATAAAAAATCTATGTCTATGTCTGTCAATGTTATAGGTGAACAAGACATATTGTCTTCTTAATAATTATGTATGAAAATGAGGTTTCCACCTCAATGTGTTCACACTACTAAAAAAATGATACAGACACATTTAAATTAAGTAAATCAACTGCATTCCAGATTTATTAATGTCCATCCAAATATCCACTGTTTATGTCATATGCAAAAAAAATGAACTTTAAGGGTTAAAGAATTATTTAAACCAAACAGATTTTATTTTTAAGTGGCTAATCAGAGTAATGGTACTCAGTAGTTTATAGTTCTTAACTATCTTTATAAAATTTGTGGACATCTCTAGCAGCCACTCTAATAGTAAAATAAAGTTTTGAACTTAGAAAAGATTAGTACAGAAGATTTTGATTATCATTAATTACAGTCTTATTAATTCAAGTTCATTAATTTTGGTATTGCATAGAGGTAGCATAAAATGAACTACAGATATATAGAAAAAGTGCTTTCGGGCTCAAAAAGTTTTGACATGGTCATCTACTTCTAGCAATGGGCTGTTTTTGTAAATATCACCAAGACAAGGTAAAACAAAACTTTGAAAAATATCTTCAAAGCTATATTATTTGGTTAGTGCTTAAATTCTGTAAAAAGAGGAAAAAAATATATCTTTCACAAATATGCAAATGGAATTTCACTATTTGTAAATATTTTTTCTGTCAAATTAGGAGGTGCCAAGTTTAATTTAGTAATAGAAAAAATATGATTACT